TATGGCATTGATTTCTGCATTGTCTCTTTCTTGTATCAGCGGACAGCAATCCGTCGGATATTCTAGCTTTGTGGATATCCCACATGTTCTTGTTGCTCCATATTTTCCTATAACAAGTGAATTAACTAATTCAGTTAATTTGTCTAACTTATTCTCAAGGGAAAAAGTACTTATCTCGTGAACCTATCGATTGGGTTCACTTGAAAACTGTTGAGAGTTGGTTGCCATGGTTGAAATCAATTCCCTTGCTGTTGTTGGGGTCATATTGACTAATGATCTTCTACTGATGACATCCACCATTTTCATCTCCATTGGTAAAAGACCTTCATAAAAGTATTGAATTAACGTTTGCTCACTTAATACGTGTTGCGGACAATGTGCGCAAAGCTTTTTAAATCGTTCTTAATAGTCATAAAGACTTTCTTCGGTCTTTTGTTGAATGGAAAGAATGCTCCTTCGTAACTCGCTTGCTTTAGCCGCTGGAAAGAATCTGTCAAGAAAAATTCAATTTCTGTCAGCCCATGAATTAACAGAATTATGAGGTAAATAAAATAACCAATTTTTAGCCAAGTCGGCTAAAGAGAAAGGGAAAGATCTCAATTTAATTTGATCTTCGATAACTCCCTGTGGTTTCATGCTAGTGCAAACCATGTTGAATTCCAACAAGTGTTTGTGCGGATCTTCAGTGGGAAAGCCGTGGAAAGTAGGAAGAAGATGAACAAGTCTCGTCTTTAATTGAAAAGGAGTCCCGCCATTAGGACAATTGATGATAATGGCATCTGAGTGATAGGAGTTATGGCTAGCTCTCAGATCATTTGTTCTTTTTCTTCTGCCATCGGGATTTGATTTTGTTTCTGCTCTTGTTCTTCTTGGCTTTTCCTTTTTTCTCGAAGCGTTTGTGCGTGGATTCTTTGTGCTCGAGCTTCGATCTCTGGATCTAGATCTGCTAATTCACCTGGGTTTCTTCTGGTCATAAATCAAAAATTAGAAAAATAAATCAGTATTTGCCGTTAATCCCCGACAACGGAGCCAATTTGATAACCGTCGTTTTGCTATCAAAATAATTCTTGGCTTCTTAATAAAAAGGAAAATGTAGTATAGAGAAGCAAGGTCAATCCACAAGGACTATGGTTTTTGTGATTTAGTAAAACTCTTTGATTTAGAGGATGATAGAATTCCAGATGAAGTTGAATAGATATAATAAAATAAAATAAATAATTATAATTTAAAAATAATAATAAAAAAGGGAAAATAATAAAATAATAAGTAATAGTAGTAAAGATATTTAAAAGTTGCTTTTAAAATAAAAGATAATTAAAGAAAAGAAAATAATTAAATAAATAATCTAAGAGATTGAGATAAAGAGAAACTTATAGTAAAAGCAGCCTCAGACTTCAGTTTTGCCTCAAATTCCTCGGATCATCGAAACAGATTTTTACTTCAAGATTCACGTCGGCTTACAATGAAAATTCTTCGTTGTCAACTCGGATTGTGTCGTTTTAACAATAACTGATTTCGATCTCAATTTCCTCTTAGCAAACAATTTTGCTAAATGTGTTCTTAGGAAGTCGAATATGCTTCAATAAGCAAATCCTTCTTCAAACGTTAACCATAACAATATCCTGACCAATGTCAAAACTGTTTTGATTTGAAAAGTAAGCTCAGAAAACAAAGAGAAAAATCCGAAGTGATATAAGTACCTTATAATTATCACGTTTGGAATTGAGCATTCGCTTTAGTCTTCGGCTTGAAAGAAAATTAGCTAAGCATGACCAAAGTCATACTTAGCATAACTGAAAAGTATGTAAAAATATAGAGAAAGCTAAAGAGAAAAAGAAGATTTTATTCTCAAATGAGAGAGATATGTTTCTAGGCTCACTCTTAAAGGGTATTTATAGCCTTCAAATTCCTAAAAACAAGCTAAAAATAATTCCTAAAATAATAACTTAAATCCTAATTAAAACTCTTAAAACTATTTAAACTAAAATACCTAAAACAAATATAAAATAAAATACTATTTAGAATAATATTCTAAATCCTAATTAAAATACTAAAACATATTTAAACTAAAATACAAAGATAAAATATAATATTTAAAATATTATCCTAAAACTTGATTAAAATACTAAAACCTATTTAAACTAAAATACCTAAAACAAAGATAAAAAAATATTATCCTAAAACTTGAGTTTAATTCAAATCTGAATTGTAAACGTGCGGTCAATCCATTCGTGCTTCTAGAAACACTGATTGGATCTTCTAAAAGGTGCTAACGTCGTCGCCTCGTCGGATGTTTCATGCCCACTAATCCAGCTTCGATTCCGAAAATAAAAAAACTACAGAATTCTGTCCTTTTAGTGAAATTTCCAGAATTTAACGTCCTGCACAGAAAATGAAACAAAACGAACAAATAAGCCACAAAAACCAATGATTAAGGAGTAATTTAAAAGTAAAATATTAACTAAATTAAATACTTATCAGATTCCTTTCGTTCTACTTGAATTGAAAGTGTGATGCTTCATTCCGTTCTACTTTATTCACTTTTTTTACGGAAAAGACACTGAAGACAATGACCATGCTTTGGTGTTGAACCCACGATAAAGAATCGTGAAACAAATTTTCAAGATACGCTTGATTTCGGTCGCATAGACAAAACCAGACTCTAAATCTTGGCAACAAAAAATTGAACTCACTGCAAACTTTTGATGTGAATGAACATTCAAAAAAATCTAAAAAACAATCTATTCCATAACAACAAGGTGAAACAAATCAAATACTAGCAGCATAATTGAAACATTTGGTCCGCATCACCACAAAGTAAGTTGAACACAGCTCCCTCGCGGCCGAAATGCCCTACTCTACCAATTCTATGCAAGTAAACCTCACAACCAGGCTCCATACGGTTGTCATGTTTCACAGGAAGATCATAGTTGATGACCAAATTAACCTGTTGTTGATCAAAACCCCGGGCAAGAAGATCCGTTGAAACGAGGACTTGAGTCAAACCATCTTTAAACTCTTTGAATATCTTGTATCGGTAAGCTTGATTGAGAGCACCTTGAATTGTGGTAACAACATAACCAAGCTCAACAAGTGATCTATGCAACGTACTAACACTGTTCCTTGTGCGTACAAATATTATTGTCTGCCCTAGGCATTCTCCAAATTCAAAAATCCTCTCTTTGATCACCATAACCTTGGAAAGTTCATCTAGAACATTTACCTTGTAATGCTTCATCGACTCCAATGATAGTTCTTTTTTCTTGACAAAAAGTTGATTATGATCTCTCTTGACGATCTTTGATACAAAATTCTTTACAGTCTCACTAAATGTGCACAGAACAAGAGAATCTGGCAGTGAGAACTCATCCCCTGAATATCCTTCATTATTCTCAATGAGTCATCTTTAAATCCATCCTCAGCTAACATGTGATCCGCTTCATCAAACACAAGAATCTTCACATTACTCGCACCCAATTGCTTTGTCGACATCCACTTATTAATAGTGCCAGGAGTACCAATAACTACTTGAGCTGTAATAGGTGGTCTTTTATTAATGGGAATATAGTTAGAACTATCCATTGGAATAGCACATTCAAATGTTATCCCAGTATGCTTCACCATCTTCCTAAGAACTTCCAGATTCTAAATAGCCAATTCTCTTGTGGGACAAATACAAATTGCTTGAGGAGCTTTTAGGTTTGGATCAACACGAAATAGAATTCCAAGAGTAAAGCAAGTGGTTTTCCCAAAACCATTATGGGCTTGAGCAATTAAACCCAAGTAAGGAGGCATCAGAATCATCGGCAAACTAATAGCTTGAATTTTACTAGGCTTTTCAAATTTCATCTCAATATATAACCCTTTCAATAATTCAGGGGATAGATTCAATTCCTCGAACGTCAAAGCTGATGTATACGGTGTACCGCCTGATGTAACGGCGTTGATGTTGGAGTCCTCGGGTTCATCGAGGAACTTGTTGATCTTTTTATTCTCGTCGATTGTTAGGTTTTCAACTCCCAACTTCGCCGCACTTTTTCCTTCCGATGTTGAGGAAGTGCTCGATTCTTTTGGAGCATCGTCTTCCAATTCGGCCATCGAATAGGCGCCTCGGTGGTCTTTTTGGTTTCTTGAGGCATTAGTGCCTCGGCGGAGGTGGCAGTCAAAGTGGTGGAGTTAGTGGCCAAGGTCGTGGCTAAGGCGGCGCGAACTGTGCGACTGCGTAGGGTCCCCAAAAAATAGGCCCCAAAAAAGTATATATATAGTGGCGTTTTTCCAATAAACGCCACTATAGATGGACCTATTGCGACATTTTTCAAAAAAAAATGCCACTGTTATTACGGCTTTATTGATAAAACGCCATTATAGATGGATCTATCGCGGCGTTTGTCAAAAAAACACCACTATTGTTGCCACAAAATCGAATATATCTAAAAAATAGGGGCCCATTTATAAGAATTTGTACAGGGCCCCCGAAAACCCAACCACGACCCTGTTAGTGGCGGTTTCAGCCATGAAGTTGTAGAAATTAATGGAACAAACGGGAAGTTGTAGAATTCATGGCAGCTGAGTCAGCAGTTTGATGACTAGACCCATTGTGCACCACGAGTGAAAAAACAAAAAGAAAGAAAGTCTAGAAGCGTGAAACCAAAATTCCCATAACTTTGGCGAAAGATACTGATGGAATATTAGAGCAAAGAAATAGTAACTTGAGGAATGAAGAACTCTTTTATTCAGTAATGTATACAGAGATTTATATACAGCGAATCATATGAATACAAAGTATGTTAACTGCCCAACAACAAGATAACCACTTTAGCTAATTAATTTTTAACAATCTAACAACTATTTGTTTCATCTAATAGACTCGATCGAATATGCACTCCTAGTTGAAAGAGTCACCTCCGTAATCAACCTTTACAATATCTTATTTGAGTTAATTAGTTAATTGATCAAATACCGATAATTATAAAAATATAGCTTAAAAATGAGAAAAAGAAATGAACTCCAAGCTTAAAGCAAAAGTGGGGGCAAAGCCATCAACTTCGATTTCGGACAGAACATTGACAGGTCTTGGGAACCTTATCAAGCTCCTTCCGACCGGAACCGTGTTCATGTTCCAGTTCCTTAACCCTGTCTTAACCAACTACGGCCATTGCAGCCCTGTGAACAAGGTCCTCACCAGCATCCTCATTGCCCTTTGTGGCTTCTCTTGTGCTTTCTCTTGCTTTACCGACAGTTACAAAGACGGTGACGGCATGGTTCATTACGGTATCACCACCGTTAACGGTCTCTGGCCGTCTTCGGGTTCGGATTCGGTGGAGTTATCGAAGTACAAGCTGAGGGTTGGTGATTTCGTTCATGCGTTTTTCTCCGTCATTGTGTTTGCTGTTCTGTCCCTGTTGGATTCCAACACCGTGCAGTGTTTCTATCCATCTTTTGAGTCCACCGAAAAGGTTCTGCTCATGGCTTTGCCGCCGGTTATCGGAGCGATTTCGGGATCGGTTTTCCTCGTGTTTCCGAACACTCGACATGGTATTGGCTACCCTTCGACTTCGTCGAGTGATGCGCCGGATAACTCATCGGACGACAACTAGAATGGATTTGCTTCGTCGTTAATTAATACATGAACCGGTTATTTTGCTCGAGTAAACTTTTTATTTGTTATTTTGAATTTGTTTGTATGTATCAAATTGTAATTGTTTTATAATATGGTTTTGCGTGTAAAATGTTTGATAAAGTTGATTTATGATGTGACACATAAATTTATGTATGAGTCAACACTAATTTATGAAATAATTGATTTATAATTTTAATATTTTAGATTCAAGTCTTATTATGTATCAACTTATGTATATGAAAAAGAATTATAAACATTTATACTTAATATTTGACATAATAGTTATTTTAATCTTAATATTTTAAAATATTTTAGCATTCAATGTTTATTTTTATCAAAATAACCATTTTTTAACCAAAATATCATTTTTTGATAGAAACAATTAACTAACAATCAAAATTAATATTTTAAAATGACACATTCACACATATTTAAGTATTTAATGGGCATAACTAACTTACTTCAGCAGTTAAATGAATCGTTGTTGTTCTTATATTTTATAGGACTCCTAATGTCTTTAGTATATTTTTTTATTTTTATAATTGAGTCCTTTAATTTTTTTTTTATAATTGAAGCCCTTAATTTTTGTAATCATGTTTTTTATCTTTATAATTGAGGTCCTTAATTCTTTAAATCTCACTTTTTTACATTTATAATTGATGACTTTAAGTTTTTTAATCCTACTTTGTACTTTTATAATTGAGGTCCTAACTTTTTTAATCTTACTTTCTATCTTTATAAATGAGGACTCTAATTTTTTAATCTCACTTTTTTATTTTTATAATTATGGCCCTAATTTTTTCAATCTCATTTTTACTTATATAATTTAGGTCCCTAATTTTTTTAATCTCACTTTTTACCTTTAAAATTGAGGTCCCCACTTTTTTAATTTCACTTTTTACCTTTATAATTTTATAATTGAGGTCCTTAATTTTTTTTCAATCATACTTTTGACTTTTATAGTTTAAACCTCTAATTTAATCATTTTCTTTGATTTATTAATGTAATATTAAATTAATTATTCAAAGTAATAGAAAATACTTTCGTTTTATAAGGATCTATATTTTAGTTTCGCTCATTGTCCCGAAAATAAATGAGACAACTCTGACTATACCAAAGAAAAAGGCTCAAATTACCAGTAAGAAGAAAGGAAGCATCATCTTGCACTATAATGCAACTCAATAGTCTCAAACTCTCAAATGGTATAACTCAGATGGATTATTTCAATTTCAAAAGGAGTCCCACAAACATTCATTATTTCACAATACTCGGTTTTCGATATTAGAAGTTTAAGAGCGAGCATAACGTACATTAATACGCCGCTGGATCGGACTCCTACAAGAAGGGCAGTCTTTCATTCCCTGCTTCTCGTGTAGCTCGTTGCACGCGATGCAAACAGCCTGATGAGCACACGGGATAAACACCACCGACATCTCCTCCGAAAGGCACATCACGCATTCCCGTTCGCGTTTCACAACTCCTTTCCCTGAGAACTCGTGGAAATCTATCACCGTAAGAGGGGTTCGAGGTTCCTTTTGACCCGTACAGTGCCTGTTATCCGTAAACTTTCCAGCATAGCTTCCGTCGATGCCCCTTCAAAGCGCAGCAATTTTTGAAGAATCTGTCTTCAGTTTCAACTGAGAGATTTCCTTTCCGAGTCTCTGAATGTCCTCTTTGTATTTCTGCAAACTACTTTCGGCTTTTGACTTCACCATCTCCTCCTCCAATTTCGTTGAAGCCTCGATTTCTTCTCGTTCCTTTTGTACTAAGCAAGCGCGAGTAAGTATTTCTTCCTTCGCCTTTTCTTCGTGTTTCAATCTAGCCTGTGATAGTTTCCCTTTTCAATGAGAGTGGGACAATAACATATAAGCCATAATCATAAGAATCACCCTCAAATAGCCAAAGTTCATCTTCTTGAACAAACAAGAAGCATACCTCAGAATCCGGATTCACGGTGGCTTGAAACCGTATTTTGATATGTTGCATCCAATCAATTCGAGGAAAAAAAGAGGGCGAAAAGAAATATTGCTTAAAACAAGTTCTTCCAGCTGAGATTCCGTGAGATCACTCCAATCAGCATCTTGGAACCCATCAGCTTCTAGCTCCTCTCTAGATCGACTTGGCCAAATCTCAGAAGAACCTACCATGCTGGACAATCCCAGGTAGAGTTTTAATCCATTGCAATGATCTTCTCCTACACCACACAAGTCACATGCACTAGCCTGACCATGGTTTGGGTTGATGTCAAACTTCTCGGCACAAAATTCATAACTCGGACAACACCCGTTTTGAGGTGCAGTTATAATCTGATTCAGATCACCTAAAGGCAGATCAGCCCGGAACTTCCTCTTATTCCTACTACCTTTTTCTTGAATTGATATTCTTGAATTGATATCAATGGAGACACTGGATTATTACTACTACTACTACCTTTAAGAACCATAGATTCCATTTTTAAGCTGCATCCAAAACAAGAACAATGTAAATTCGTTTATCAAGCTATCAACCCAGATAAAATTACAATACAAAATCCAAAAATTGAAAATAAATTCTGGAATCACCATTTTTCCCAAATCCATTACAAAACCAAAACAGACCCTAAATCGGGCCTCAAGCCCGATCCAATACATATTACAAAACTCAAAATATAACCCAACCTAAAACCAATACCCAAACCCATTTTACAACCAGACCCTAACCCAATACCCCCCAGGCTCTAAAACTATAACCCAAACTATTTAAAACCCAATAGACCTGGAACCCGACCCGGCGCCCAACTAAGACCCGACCCAGGGCCCAACTAAGACCCGACCCGGGTCTAACTAGCCGCTCACTCCCCCCCAATCAACATGCACCTTCCTCTGCCCCAACCAGCAACCGCTTGTCTCTGCACCAATCTCGGCAAAACCACCCATGCATGTCGGCTGCCCCACTCCACGCCCCTGCAGAAACAAATACAAGCAAACAAAATAACAATGATTTGATTTTCTGTAAAAAAAAAAAGGTATAAGACCCATGAATTAAACATTGTAAAAGGGTCTGAAAATACTTTCTCTGGTTTTCGAAAAAAAGCTTTGTAACTCGGTTCTTCATCCGTTCAAACCAATAAACAAGATTTTTAAGATTACCTTTTCTAATTTCAAGTAGTAATATTTTTGATCCATTTCTTTTCTAGTTTTGAATCTCAGTAAAAAAAACTTTTTTTTAGTATTTTGAAAGATAACAAACAACGTTTTTAGTATAAAAAAAACAGTAAGCAAGGTTTTAAAAAAACCACTTTAGGTTTTCGAAGATAGTAGTAAACAGAAAAAAAAACATTTTTTTAGTTTCAAAATTAACTCATCCAAGAGTCTTTTTTACAGTAAAAAGGAGGTCGCCGGAGAAGTAGAAGAGTTTGAGTAGGTTTTCGGGTAGTTTACGAGCATTTTCGGCGTTTTTAGCACCTAAAGGGGACCTAGGTTAGTGGATCTACGTATTTTGGATGTTTTGGGGTGTCTTGGGTTTTTCAGCCGTCGTAATTTGGGGTGGTCGGCAATGGGCCGACCGATGAAAAGATGAGAGCGTTTATAGGGGGTTTTTTTTTTTTTTTTCTCATAACGTAACAGTTTACGACGTACCACGAAGGGAAACATTTACGAGTTTCAAAGAAATGTGGTCCAGATCTTTCTTTTTTCCTTCTTATTTTGCTTTGGAATCTTTTTCTTAATTTTAGTTACTTATCTAACGAAAATCCACGGTTCTCTACTTCGTTCTCACACTCGAGGAGATCTTAGATCTTACGTTTTTTCTTTTGAAGTTTACCTATTATAGTTCCTCATTTATCTTTTAGACCTGTACTGTTTTTCTCAACCGTTATCTTATTGTTCTAATATCGTCAAGTGTTCTTAGATCTACTGACCGATATACTTTTGTCTACTTCCGATCTGATCTACAGTCAAACACAAGGTTATCTGTATAATTTTGTCTTGATTCGTTAGATCTATTGTTTTCCACTGCGTTCTTTCCTACCTTTGACGTAGGAACTCTCACCGGAATCTCGTCGGAACTCCTTTACTCATTTCTTTTTAGTCGTAAGGTCCTTTATTTTCCGATCTAAAATCTCTCTTTCTATGAATATAATAACATAATTTCGTGTACATATTTGTTTTTTGCGAGATCTAATTTTTGCTTTTGTGATCACTCTGCCAAACACTAACGCATGTATTTCTCTCACACTTCTTCTCATTTGTTTAGCGTAAAATATTCACAAAATTTTAGAACTCTTGGCGATTCCCTCTTCATTTTCTCTCTCACGGAGATGATCCATTTAATACAATACATAAAAAAAATTCCTTCTTTGCTTTCAGATTTGCGGTTTCAGTTTTAGATTCAATCAGGCCAAGGTTCAGGTTTCGATTTTTGTTTATTATTGTCGCCCCGCTCTTTTTTAGATCTGATTCGTTGCATTTTATTGGATTCGGATTTCTAATTTCGGATGTTATTGATTTAATTTTCATTTTCTCTAAATATAGTTTAATTTCTGCTCATTTTGATTCTTTTTCCTGTTTTTCTTGATGACGTCTTAAACTTTCATAGAATTTGTTATTTACTTGAAAATCATTTTTGCTTTGAGTAGGATCTACGGGATCTATATTTTTGTACTTTTCTTTGAGTAGGTTTTACTGGATCTGTATTTTTTTCATTGTTCTAGATTCCTAGTATCTTATATGATTATCGATCTTTTAAGTAGGATATAAATCCAATCATTGGTTTGTAGCTGTTGGCCTTAAGTTTAGTAAGATAGTGTTAATTTGTCTTAAAATTCTATTAAGTAACCAACTAGGCTTCTTAGTACCCCTCAATCCTCTAGCGTTTTATTGGTGCATCTTCTGTCCTCTTTGGATTCTTTTTTCATAGTTCCTCATAGCTTCGACTATAGATGATTACTTGAGGTCATGTCATTCTTTTAGATCCCATAGGGCGCATAGGGGGAGGGCTCGACAGAGTGGTGTCAAGGAGTCTAGACTTAGAGTTTTTTCGTTGATTGTAGGCACATTAAATGCTAGGCTGCTGGAGCTGACCGACGTACTTAGTAATAGGAAAATAGATTTTGCATGTATTCAGGATACTAGGTGGAAAGGGGCTCGCGCCAAAGAGTGTAATGGGTACAAGTT